AAGAGGACTCGGTAAAAATGTACCCGGCCACGTGGAGCTCGGTAAACCCAACTGATCAGTGGTTGCACAATAGGTCCCATACCCGACCGACTATAGCTCGGCTCGGTAGAGTAAAATAGATACATATATAATGCATGCTGGACTCATGGAGTCACGTTCTAAACCTTTTGAAGTGACATAAGGTCATTGCACCATCGATTAACATCATGGACATCATACCATCAATATGAACTTCACTAGGACTCAAGGATCATATATATTTTCTTGGAATAACTTTGTAAGGAAAGAATAACATGGACAACCTTAGTTGCTAGGAGTAGATTCATTATGAAATAGCGTATCGTTTATGTTCGTTTCACTTTAGATCATGCCAAAAGAATGAAGGAAGATCCTTAACATACCTTAAACATGTTGAGTCCTTAATACCGTCAAGCAACTCTTCAAACAAGTCAACTCGATCTATCATAGCATAAGGAGATTCAAAATCAGTATTGAACAAAGGCTAAGTCTGTAACTTAAGCTAGTAGCTCGTCTACGTAAATTCGGGCAGCATCTCCCTTGTAACAAGGGCCTCCTCCAATACCACATACCAACAACAATAGCCAGGGAAGTCCAGCAACCTATAAATATCAATAACAAGACACCATATAACAACAACAAGTCACAACTACTTCACGACGAGCGGCAAGCTCCGATTGGAATCCGTATAGCCCATATCACCCCTTATAGACTTCTTACATTAATTTAACAGTATCATTAACATGATAATGAAGTCATTCATCAATGATTCCATCCTTATACCATATATTTATAACAAAGGAAACAATCCTCAACTCCAACTATCTTCAATTAGTAGCTTTATTCACTAGTTCATGTCTATTCCATCCATTTAACTTAATCAACATCAAGATAACCTTAAGAACATGCAAGAAGACAATACACACAACTCCTATAGTAACTTCAAGTCGAAATCCAAGTTATATTCAGCTCACAACAACCCTCAATAGCAATACAACACCATAGAAGTGACTTAGGCTAATCCAAGTACTATCTTGTAGTTTATCATCCTAACACCTTAACCAACATACAAGCAAGCTTAATCACAATTAGTAGGCTGTTATACTCACCTTATACAGCAGCAACAACTTGGAATTTCATCCAAATACAGCCCACAACAATCCTCAATGATAACACAACCTCAAAGAGGTGTTGTTCTTCACTAGAGCTAAGTTTTGATGTTGAGATATGGTGTAATCACTTTGGAATCACTTCAAACACTTGTGGAATCTGTTTAGAAGGGTTAGGAGAAGTTTAGAGACGAAGTTGAGTTGAAAATAAGTGAAAAATAGGCGTCCAAATCGTTTATAAAGTGAAGTAGGTCGACCACCGCCTAAGTGGGTCCCATTGGGTGCTGCTTGCGCGGTCTCGCGAAAATGCAAATATCTCTCTACTCCGATGTCGTATTGACAAATGGTTTAATGCGTTGGAAACTAGACTCGTAGATATTCAATTTGATATGTAGATCATCCATTTATGCCAAGTATATTGGGAGAAAAGTGCATCTACATTTGACCTAAATTCAAGCACATTATAAATGCAACTTGTGATGATCTTTGCTAACTTTTGTTCCATAACTCGTTTGACTTAAAAACATAACACAGGACTATCATACGACTACAATAAATCATAAATTAACCTCCTCATCATGTTAATCACCCTAGTCTCACCCCAAAACAATATGTTATAACATTCCAAACTTGTCGATTTTCGACGAAACTTATTTTCTTCAATTCATTTAGCTTCTAAGCCTTCAAACCCTCTTGCTACTTGGTATTAATGATCTTAAAAATTTGTAACCTCCACGTTAACATGATGAACTAACTTTGTAAACTTTTCAAAGATGATTCCATTTCTATGCTTACATTAATTGACTTATGTCGTACTCTTACGTACGAAAACATGGGGTGTAACAGTGGGATATTGTGATAGTGGCTGGGCTGGTGATATTGATGATTCAAAAAGTACTACTGGGTTTGTTTTCTTTCTTGGAAATTCCGCATTTACATGGGATTCTAAGAAGCAACCAATTGTGACTTTGTCATCTTGTGAAGCGGAGTATGTAGCAGCTTGTTCGTGTGTTTGCCATGCAATTTGGCTAAGGAGCTTGTTGGAAGAACTTCACCAACCACAGAAGGATGCTACAAAGATTTTTGTTGACAACAAATCGGCTATAGATTTAGCCAAGAACCCGGTATTTCATGAAAGAAGCAAGCATATCGATACGAGATATCATTTTATTAGAGATTGCATATCTAATAAAGTTGTGGAGCTTGAGCATGTGAAGTCTGAAGATCTAATTGCAGATATTTTCACCAAGCCTTTGAAGATTGACGCTTTTCAAAAGTTAAGGATGGCGCTTGGAGTAATGAAATAAGTTCAAGGGGGGATGTTAAAAATAGTAATAAACTTGTTTCCATTTGTCCACATTTGTTTAGATTTGTTTACATTAATTTAATGCTTTTATACATATAGTTAGAAAAGAGTAAGGTGTGGACATGTGTGAATTTGTGTGAACTAGTGTAGGCATGTATGGACTAGTGTGTACATGTGTGGACTTAATTAATATGTACTCATGAAGTTTAGGCTAGATACATGTAGGAGTTCTACTATAAATACCCGTGTATGCTAGCCATTTGGTGTAAGTGAAGTTGAATAGAAATCATCCTTTTCTCCACCTCTCTAATAGTGAGTTTTGAGTGTTTGTTTAGTTGTCTTGCTCTCCCAAAAATTTCTAACAGTGTCTCCATCATAGCATTACTCACGAGCAATTTATTCTCCACCACTTGATTGACAATATTCCAGGGAGGATTCTACACACCGTGAAGAATATTTTTCATGAGCATAGAAATAGTTTCAAGTAAACAAGGGAACAATTAGGTAGTAACAATGGGTTTCTAGAATTGCCCTAGCTTCAGCTTCAGTATTTGACGCATCCGGGATCTCAGCAGCTTGTGAATCATTTCTAACACAAATTGCATAAGAAGACCTACCCAAATTTTCTCTACAAGCTCCATCCGCACTGCTCTTGACCCAACCAGTAGGAGGCAGTTTTGACCATGCTTGAGTGTACTTTAATTTCGGAACATGTGCATCCAGTTTTTGGTACAATTCTTGCCAGTTTGTAGTCATACCTGAGAATGCAATTCTCCGGACCTTGAGCAGCATCGGATATTGAGAGAAATCTGGAAGATCATTCTATTGATAGAGACGGCTTTCCCGTACATTCTGGAGTTCCTTCTCTTCTATAATTCCCATACAATCATGGATGGTATTGCATTGAAAATTGGTTTCAAACATAAATTGAGAGGGCCTGGACACCATTCATTTATAACCTGCACAAGCTGCTTTCCATCAGTGTTAAATACTTGTAGGCAAACAAAAGTTGGTCCATAAAATTTTGGCCATGGAAGCCCTTAGAAACATGTAACGACCCAAACAGTTGTTTTGTGTATATGGGCCCCCTTCCCCTATTTGATGCTTCCCGTATGCTTCCTTCTGTTTTGTGACTTGTGGGGATGGTTGGTTTCGTTTCGGGAAAGTTTTGGAGTGAATTGTAACACTTAGTTTCAAGGTTGAAAGCTTAAGTTATAAGGGTTGACTGAGGTTTTACTTTTGTGTAAACGAACTCGAAATGGTATTTTGATGGTTCCAATAGGTTTGTATGGTGATTTTTGGACTTAGGAGTATGTCCGGATTTGGATTTGGAGGTTCCTAGGTTGATTTGACTCTATTTGGCGAAAGTTAAAAATTTGAAGGTTTGGAAGGTTCATAGGTTTGACTAGGAGTTGACTTTGATGTTATCAGGCTCAGATTATTGTTTAGGAAGTTGGAATAGGTCTTTTATGCCATTTGGGATTTGTGTGCAAAATTGGAGGTCATTCTGAGTTGGTTAACAGTGGTTCGACATAAGTTTTGAAAGTTGAAAGTTCGATTAGTTCATTAAGCTCGAATTGGGGTGAGATTTGTGGTATTGATGTTATTTTGAGTATTTTTAGACCTCGAGTTAGTCCGTGTTATATTTTAGGACTGGTTGGTTTTATTGGACGGGGTTCCGGGGGGCTCGGGTGAGTTTCGGATGAGTCTCGGATCATTTTGAAGTTTGAAGGCAGTCAGATTTTGGTGCTTTCGCACTTGCGTGGTTTGGAGCGCAAGTGCGAGTCCGCAGAAGTGGACAGGAGGACATAGAAGCGAGGTTTGTGATGGACAAGGAAGTCCGTAGGTGCAGAGTCTTGTGCACAGGAGCGTAATCGCCGAAGCGGAGGATGTCCGTAAGTGCGAGAGGCTGGGGGTTTAAGTGAAACTCGTAGAAGCGAGCTTTTGTCGCAAAAGCAATGCCGCAGAAGTGGCTGGCATGTAGCAGGTGCAAAATAACTAGGCAGTGTATATTCTTATCGAGGGTAGCTTCATTTTAACATATTTTGAGATTGGGAGCTCATATTGGGGTGATTGTTGAGGCAATTTTTACCCACTTGGATTGGGTAAGTGTTTTTAACTTGGATTTAATTATTATTCATGTTTCTATATTTGATTTTGACATTGGGTTGGTAAAATCTATGGGAGAAAATTGGGGTTTTTTTAAGGAATTTTGGAGAGATATTATTTGGGATTTGGTTCCCGATTTGAAGTCGGATTTGGATGAAGCTTGTATATTTGAACTCGTGTTGGAATAAGTGATAGTGATTTGAGCAGATGTGGACCGCGATTGTGAATTAAATTAGGGAGGTATTAGGGGTCTCAAAGGGCTCCTCTGGTGGTCGCAAAGGGGACCGATGGTGGAGTACTGAGGTCCAAGGTAAAGTGGAAGCCAAGAAAGCGACATATTTGAAACTTTTGGAGAGCATGGACGAGGAGGAGAAGAGGACTAAAGGGAGCGGTATGAGGTTACTAAGAAGGAAGTGCAGTTAGCAGTTACCGCGACTAAGAGTGCCGCGTTTGAACGCATGTATGAAGAACTTGGAGGCAAAGGGAGAGATATAAAATTGTACAGGCTAAACGAGGTGCGAGAAAGGAAGGCTCGTGACCTGGATCAACTGAAGTGCGTCAAGGACGAGGATGGTAAAGTGTTGTTGGATGAGGACCTTATTCGGTGGAGATGGCAGACTTGCTTCCATAAACTCTTGAATGAAGAGGGGGATAGGAATATTGTGTTGGGTGACTTAGAACACTCCAAGAGTCGTCGGGACTTTGGGTATTGCAGGCGTATAAGAATTGAGGAGGTAGAGGGGGCTATGCGTAAGATGAGCAGAGGAAGAGCGAAAGGGCCAGACGAAACACCGATTGAGTTATGGAAGTGCGTGGGTAGGGCAAGCTTGGAGTGGCTACTAGGTTTTTTAATGTCATTTTTAGGGAAAAAAGGATGCCCGAGGAATGGACATAGAGTACGATGATCCCGCTGTATAAGAACAAGGGTGATATATAAAATTGCAACAACTATCGGGGTATCAAGCTACTGAGCCATACTATAAAAGTATGGGAGAGGAGGGTGGAGCTAAGGGTGAGGAGGATTGTGTTGATTTCAGAGAACCAATTCGGATTTATGCCGGAGCGTTCGACTACAGAAGTTATTCACCTTGTTAGGAGGTTGATGGAGCAGTATAGGGAGAGGAAGAAGGTTTTACGTATGGTGTTCATCGACTTAAAGAAGGCTTATGATAAAGTGCCGAGGGAGGTGCTGTGGAGATGTTTGGAGGCTAAATGAGTTTCTGTTGCTTATATTATGGCTATTAAGGACATGTACAAAGGAGCAAAGACTCGGGTGAGGATAGTGGGAGGAGATTAGGAACACTTCCCAGTTGTTATGAGGTTGCACTGGGGGTCAGCCCTCAGCTCATTTTTATTTGCCCTGGCGATCAATGCACTAACGCGACACATTCAAGGGAAAGTGTCGTGGTGCATGTTATTTGCAGATAATATTGTATTGGTTGATGAGATGTGTGGTGGTGTCAACGAGAAGTAAGATTGGAGGCAAACCCTGGAGTTTAAAGGTTTCAAGTTAGAGTGTCACGCCCTGAACCTGGGGAGGCGTGGCTGGCACCCGGTGTCGTTGTGGCCCGAGCGAACCACTCTATAACTCATTTATTCCTTTTGTAACTATCATGGGCCAACATAGCCACAAGTACAATTGTAAGTGGAAAAATATTATATTAATGAATCGTCGTTCTTAAAAATATGAATACATATGGGCCATCAAGGCCTCTGACATACTGAACAAAATGAACCTCTGTGTCTACAAAGCCTCTAAGATTATTCGACATCAATGGGACAAGGTACCGGCCTACCCATAAGTCTCTAGCAAAATTCTAATACGATGACTCATAGACTCGGCTGCACTCCGAATGAGGTGGAGTCTTACCGATCCTTCGCTGAATGCTAACCTCGTCTACTATGAGGGCTCATCGAACTGATTATCTATACCTGCAGGCATGAATGCAGTGTCCCCAACAAAAGGACGTCAGTACGAATAATGTACCGAGTATGTAAGGCGGAACTGAAACATAACAGTAAGTCAACATCAATTAAGGACATGGTGGAAGAAACATGGAGTAAAGGACTCAACCTGTAAGTCTGGATAGCTCTGTAAATCATGAAATATTTATAATGTCATGCATATAAATGTCATATAATGCATAGGTCTGTACATACATAATATCATCAACCCTCTGAGGGCATCCCATCATATCATTTCAGCCACTGTGGGCAATATCATCATCGTATACCAGCTGATCAGATGGTGGTGCTTATATAACGTCATAACCTTTTTCCATATCCCATATACATATATATACATATATACGCGTATATAACGCCATCTGGTCATGGGTCAATGTACATGAATGCAATGCATGAGAAGTACGTCAATAAAATCTCTTGGAGTGTCATAAGACCATTATGCCTTCGAATAATATCATGAAGTAAACTTTTTCAACTTACGTATTTTTCTGAGACCCATGAACAGATGATAGAATAATTCGACACATGGAGAATCAAGAACATAAGCATCTCTAGCATTTCTATGAATAGAGTCATTTATGGAAATTGCGCATTTGCTCATTTTGTTTGTGTCGTATAGATCATGCCAAAAGAAAGAAGGGATAACATTAACATACCTGAGCTGGTTCTCTTGACAATCCCTCTAACATATGTCTTTTGCGAAGAACACGTAACGCCGGATCAAAGTAGAAAAAAATTCTTATGATATTCTTGAAAAAGATTGCACCGTACTCCTTAGAATTGCAAATGCCGTTGCTATTATATTATGTGGTCTCGTATGGATTTCCAAATCCCCTCTTTTCCCTGGTGATTCCTTACCCCTTTTCCTCTCACCACCACCAGAGTTCAATCCGACCCTTCAAATAAATTCTTCTATATCCGACTTTTTGTTTCCCACTTTCAAGAACTACAAAGCTTGAAACTTTTCATCATTATCAGGTCAGCTTTTTCAATTCTAACTACTAAGATAACCCCCAAAAGAAAAGGACAAGAAATTCAAATTTCACCCTTTTCTAACTCAAAACACATCATATGAAAATTTACAAAGTTTGTCCAAATTATCAAACCAAAAATCAGAAATTCTAACCAAGATTCTTCACTTATGAACCTTGGAGCTCAGCAAATTAAAATTTCAAACGTTATGGTGCAAATCTCAGCTTTTATAGTAAGCTCCTAAACAGAAAAGGCAACAATATTTCACTGGATTCACTGAATCAAGACGAATTGCCTTGATCTCAAATTTACATAAGAAAATCCTTTTCTATAACTTCCCCAAATGAATTATGATATGGATTGAAGGCAAAGTTACGGATGACTAAAAAATGTAGTCCATGTGTTATCTCATTTGGTTTCCAAAAATGAAGAGTCATCAAAGGGGTAAAGTGGGTGCTGCAACGTGAGGTAGGGAAATTTTAATTTTTATCCAACTTATTAGTTAATTAGGTAATGCCCCGTTACCCGATAATTAACCAATTACCCGCATAATTAAGAATTGTCTCAACTTACTTAAAATAGTACTCACCTTTCATATACTCTATACACCTTACAATAATATACTTTATATAACTTTCTACCATGGTCATGTGGTACCATATAAAATCAATACACATACTATTATTTTATTAAAACATCCATGGAAAAATACATATATTTTGTAACTTATAATTTTCCTAATCTCATAAAAAGAGTATAAATTTTCGTACACTTAATTCTTGAAATGGTAAAAAGATAACCTTATTTTCTTGTGAGAAAATAATTCATATCTTTACAATAAAGAAAATCTCATAAACTTTTCTCATATTATGTGTATAATTTAAAGCATATTCGAAAGTAGTAATAGTAATAACTATTTATTTTTCAAACTTTTTACAAAAATATTCCACTCAAAATATCATATCAAATATATATAACAGTATCAAGGTTGTTAAAATTACGGGATCTTATAATAATATAGTCACAATCTTCAAAAGTAAGAAGTTTAACTAACATGTATGCATTCAGTACGTGTAACATCAAATTGGAACTAAGGTTATTAATTTGAGCATCCAATATAAAATAATGACAAGCGTTATCGAACCACTCAAAGTGGACATCATTAAAACAGACCATAGAAGGACAACATCAATTGCAAATTGATTTTCGATTCCCGATTTATCTACCAATATAGTAAATTAATTGTCACCATTCAGTTTCTAGATTTAAATGCATTTGTAATTTTATTTAAAAATTAGAAAAGTTTGGCAGAAGTCATGTAAAC